AGGAAACAATCTCTGCACTGCTGCAGACGCACCGCTCCTGAACGCACTGCCGGACCGCCACCGCATGCAGTGAACGCTTTAATCCATTAACATGAATTAAAGGGAAAAATACGCACTGCAAACGGAGTAATGTGACCCTGGCAATATGTGTGTGCGCTGTGAGTGTGCATGAGCGTACTGTCTCCAGGAGAGCGCGCGAGTGCTGAATGGTTAAACACTGGCAAGAATTAAAAAGTAATGCAATTTATTAACTTTAGTGACGATGTGACACTGCCTCGATTGTGCAAGTGACAATTCCTGTGTCAACTGTGCAGCGTGCAGCTCGTTTATAGACAGACGCGATGTGTGGTGATTTGAAGCCATTTACGTATTTTTAGAGAGAAAGAGAGAGTACCTCACCTTCAGCATAATTATTTCACTCGCGCCAGACAGAGAACGAGACGGTGCCGCTGCATGTCATGCCAAACCTCTCACAGCAGCGTCATCAGCTTGAGATCGTTTTTTGAGATCGGCCTTTTTAGAGACCGCCGATCAAACATCCCAACGTGATTATCGGCTGATAGTGATCGGTAGCCGATCTATCAGAGCACCCCTATCCTTAATGCAACCTTGCATTAGTATAAAAAAAACACAATAACCTCAAACTTTTGACTGGTAGTGTATTTGCATTTCTATTAAATGATGCCTGCCCTCACGGGACTGTGGGAAGTAGGAGTGAACCTTGTAAGATGATACAAGACAGATGGATGCTTGTAAATGTTCCATTAAGAGACAAGTAAAATGTTTTCTTTTTGACTTTGTCTGGCAGAGCTCTCTTATTGTGTAATCTGATCTTCAGCAAGGTCACCTCTGATTCAGATCAGATTGCCCCCAGTCAGCTATGGGAACTGTACACGCTGAGAGCTTGTGCTAAATATATCACAGCGCTCCATTTCTCTCACTGCGTCAGTGCACATGTGTGTATGTTTTTTCACGTGTTCACACTTGCAGGTCCGATGGGAGGTCACAGTAAAACAATAACGTGCTGCAAGAATGGCCCCCTCTGGATTTATGCATGCAGTATGTTAAACAGCCAGAAGAAAAGGAGTGTTTTCTGAATTTAGTACCCACCAGATGTGCTCCCTTATGGAGCATTGTTATTTCAACCCATCAAAATGTGGTTCTTAAGATCTTACTAGTGATCCAGGGCTTGCCTTTGTTATTTTGTCAGGTAGGCTGTTCAAAGAGCAAATCAAAAAATGTATCTTTTATCCGTCATTTTTTTCCTTACCATGCCTTTTCCTCTTACACACATCTCATTGAAACTATCATCATCACAAATTACAGCTACTGTGCTTTTCCTCTGGGAGAAAGGACCTGCTCCATTTTTACCCAGAAAAAAACACAGATACACTATATTTGAACACTGCATGTATGTGATATAGTTTCTCATCAGATAAGCTCCGGGGTTGCTACACAGCACGCTAATATTACAGCACAGTCAGAAGACTGGTGTTTTAATAATGAGGCTTCTTTGTCCTGCTCTGTTTTCGACTTCTGGGAGCAAATAATTTAGCTGACAGCCTCTCGGTGACCTCTGTAATATTGCTGATCGTATTAGATGTGTAAGGTTACTGCTGCTGTAGGTGCTGGAGGCTTTTGAGTTACTGAGCAGACTGTTTTTATATCAAAAAACTGTTTACAGAAGTGTTGACGTACACAGGAGAGAACAGCTTGTACTGCGAGAGCTGATAACAGGACGGGCCAGGATCAAGTCCTCTCTAAATCCTACAAAACATTCCTTGAAATAGTCCTTGAAGGCAGTGGCCAAGCACAGGCTGTATTCATGAAGCTGCTGTATTTCAGTGTGTTCTCAGCGGCACCCCTGGAGGTGCAGTCGCCCCACTGGCTATGTGCACTTTCCATATCATTTCCATTAGGTGCGCTACTTAAATTATAATGTTACTGTTTTGCTCATACAGTTTCTTTGAGAGAGATTTGAGCACCATATTTTCTGTTCATGCTATTCCTCTACTGTGCCGGCACTGGAAAGTGGCAACCTGCAGCTTTGAAAAAAATCCCACTTTCTTTGTACCTGGTTCCGATGATAAAAAAATGTGTACGGGCCTAAATGAGATTGTGCTTTACCACTACCACTTACTGATTGAATCTCTCACGAAAATTCATACTGTAAGCATTAAAGGTACGTTCAGGGTTGGCCCCTCATGGGCTCTGCAGTGTCAAGCATTTGACTGAGTTACTAATAATAGCAACAATAATATGTACGTTATATAGTGTTTTTAACAAATGTTCAGACTAGTTGACAAAACATTAATAAGTACATTTAAACAAAAAAAACACACAAGCAAAACTATAGGCTAACAACAAGCACAATTACTCCACAAATAACCTTTTATTCAACCTCATGTCTTTCGAAACATGTATGACTTTATTTCTTCCATGGTGCAAAAAAGGAGTTGACCACAGCTGTGAAGTGAAATTTTCATTGGACAGTGATTTTAGTTTCAGTCTGTTCCTCTCACATGTGATATGGAGTCATTTTAAGATGTGCCTTAACTGTATAAAGGAACATAAACCATTTTTGAGACTTCTCTGCGTTTTGCAGAAGAAAGTCATATGTTCAGGTCTATACTGACATCAGAGTGAGTAATTGAGAGTAGTGGTTATCAGATATTGGTTTTTTGACAGCCGATGCCGATGCCGATATCTTGGAAAGCAGGGGAGCTGATGGCCGATATAAAGCCGATATAATTTTGTTTATTTTAATTATTATTTAAGAAATTTTAAATAATTTGAAAATGGATTAAAAAATAAATGTGTAAAATAAACATTTATACTTTAAATGACAAAGTATTTTTCACAAATAAATAAATATTTAATAAATATATAATTAAAAAGGAAGTAAACACTGTAACCAACAGGGCACTCAGTAATCTGGGAAGTTTGTGTGCATTGGGATTTGGAAATCATATTTTTTTAAATAAAGCCAAGGTAACACTAATTTTACATACAGCACACAGTGAAAATGACATGAATATGACATTGGGCAAAAGCATGAAGCGCAGCATATTTAGAAATCATGAGTTTTAGGTTTGTCGATTGTGCATCTCCAGTGAGGCTGAACTCTCCTCCTGTTCGCATTCAATTCACACGGGCCGACCGTCATGCAGAGAACACGCAATCATGCAGGATACAAATGCACACTTCACAAGATCTCACAGCTGGATCCAACTAAGTTTGCAAATTTTTTTCAATTGAATGTTCATTATTCATTCAAAGATTTGTTTAAATGATATGAATGCGTATTTGCTGAATGCTGACAGCAAATGAGAAAGTATTATAATGTTTGCCTTTCTATAACTAATAATATAAAAGTAATCGTTATAATACCTTTTTGTATACATTTTAATTCCTTTGTTTAACAGTTCTTTCTGATTATTAGACAGATTTCTGTCCGTATTAGACAGAACTGTTAAGGACGTCAGCAAACAAGGAGAATGTGAACACTGTGCTCAGGTGCTGCCTCTCTCAGTGCCGTCAAAATTAAAGTCCCACCTCGAACTCATCGGCCAAACAGAAAAACTTATCGGCCGATGCCGATATTTGAAAAATGACACATATCGGCCGATATATTGGCCTTGGGGATATACAAGGTTATTTTCGTAAAGGAAAACTAAAACTAAGACGAAAACGATTGGTCAAAAAACATTATCGTAAACTGAAATAAAATAAAAACATCAAAATAAATGAAAAACTCAAATGAAACTAAACTAACAACAGTTATTGTAAAACTAACTGAAATAAAATAATAATTATAAAAAATAAAAAATAGTTTTCGTAATCATTACGTTCTCACCCTGTGGTGGAAAAAGATATGAGCTGTGTGTCGGAATCTACATTTGTTATTGTATTTCTGATGTTATCTATTTTATCAGTGAAGAAATTCACACGTGAGGTTATTTGATGGAGAGACGCAAAAAGCAGAGTCCTGCACGGGTCCTGTTAGGTAAACCTGCATCTGTAGTACATAGGCCTAACAGAACACCCGACCCTTTATCCGACAGCAGCCAGCACTATTTGATTCTGTACCCGACTCGTTTGACATAAAGACCTGAACCGCGCCCGCATTAAATAGGCTACTGCATCAGTAAGGCAAAATTATTTATTTTCTCATGTAACACATTATTTTCTCATCAAACCAAAATAGGCATTTTAAGTTGGTGCTTTGAAGAAAAATAGACAAGCAGCGCAACAGAACAAAGTATCCTTACTGTAAACTATAAAAACTTTTGCCCACATCTTGTGAACAGTCCGCCAGGCTGTTTTGAACATGTGTATAAACTACACGCTTATAATTCTTCATAAAAGAAAATAACATATTTAAATATGACTTTCATGTTAAATGCCATTGTCTCTCCTTAAACTCTACAGTGTGTGGCCGTTAGTCCTTTACAGAAGCATTAAAAATAGCCAAAAATAATTAGCCTACTAAAACTAAAACTGAAACTAAACTATATAAAAACTAAATAGAAATGTGTTCACAAAATAAAAACTAAACTAAAACTAACAAAATTATTAATGAAACTAATAAAAACGAAACTAAATTTTATTGCAAATTTGAAAACGATATTAAAATAAAACTAATTTAAAAATGCAAAACTATAATAACATTGGCGATATATCGGTCGACCACTAATTGAGAGTAATAATTGATGACAAAATTATTATTATTTTTTTTAAATTACAAAATTTTTGGGTGAGCTATCCTATTAATAAATAAATGTTATGCATCCATGCTGATAGTTTTCAGTATATGAAGAACAAACACAGAAGAACCAGTGAAACATTAGAACAAAAAAACCTTACTGAATTCTCTTTTAAACACCAATGTTGTCTCACATGATTCATTTCAGCATCTGCTGAGAAAAATTGTCACCAAAGATTGAAAAGAAATGAAAAGAAAAGCTAACATGTTAATCTCTCTTCTCTCTCGCTTGCAGGACATCAGTGCAACTGTAGTGCTGAGGGTTCGGAGGACCAAGATACCTGCGACTCTGTCACAGGTCAGTGTTTATGCCTAACTGGATACACGGGGCAGCGTTGTGATGAATGTGCTGATGTGCATTTCACCAACGGAACCGGCGGCTGTCAGGCCTGTGACTGTGACTCCTATGGAGCTGTGAGTCAACTCTGCAATAGGTGAGTATCTGCTCTTCTCACACTAATTACATCACCCTTGTTTCATTCAGAACTATGCGTATCAAGATGACTTGTTGGAAAATTTCCTCAGCAACCAAAGGATTTTAATAAAAGCATTTAATAGCAATGTTCCCTGCTTTATAATGTATTCTTTAAATGTCACATGCAGTAAATGGCATGCACTCGTAAAAATTCAGCATGTTAGAGAAGCTTCACCTATCTGAACTATGAGCTGTGTGTCTTTGTTATCTGGCAGCATTTCATGTTTTGTTTCTGATTCTGGCTCGTAGTGTAAAGCTGTACTTACCGTATGTCTCATGTTTGTCCTTAATTTGACATCTGCATAAATGCAGTCAGCAGGCATGGAGAGATCGTTCTCTACACTGCAGTAGAGTGGCTACTGGATAGGGTTGTGCAATTAATCGAAATCGTCATAAAATCGCGATTTGAGCGTATGCGATTTTCTAAATCGCTTTATAGCACGATTTTCCGCACCCCCGACCTCCAGCAGTATGTTATCCAAACCAATCAGAATGCAGCGCGCCTAAATGGAGCACGAGAACAGAACAGACCGGGCAGGCATACAAACGTAACACCAGGTTCACACACTCCATCTGTGGTGCGTATATTTTCCGCGCCCATGTTAATGGATCAGAGCGTTCACACTGCATGCGATTGCGGTCCGGCAGTGCGCTCCAGGAGCGGTGCGTCTGCAGCAGTCATGCTGCGATCGTTTCCACACGGAGTCTATGTCTGCTGTGCTGCATGCGCATGTAAAAAATAACATGGATTGGCACGGAAATTTAGTAATTACACCATAAATGCATATAATTAAAGTCTACTGTTTCACAGTCAACACATGGCTTTTTGGCTAGATTTAAAAAAAGGAAAAGTGCACTTTTAGATAAACAAGGCAATAATAGATGGCTTATTTTTTTGATGTAAGTACATAGTAGTTAATGTCTCTTAATATAAAGTGGGACCTGCCATTTTTTTCACTGACGAAAACTATGATGAAATCTATTGACATTTTCATCATGAATAAAAAAGAGATGAAAACGTTAGGGAGGGACGATTTGGAAAGAGATTCTTTCAGAATGAATCTGTTTTGTGGTTAGGAAGTTAGATGCGTAGTTGCGTATGAACCGGCGGGACATAAGCTAACATACACTTGCTGCATGTCTCATAAAACATTCAAAAATGTCAATATGTGGGAGTAAGATATTTAGTGGACTAAAACTAGACTAAAACTAAAAACAATTCAGATGATTAAAATTTTAATATAAAGGCATGTTGTGTGTCATCGCAGTTAAATCTGTGTCTATCATGATAAAACCTTAATATCAAACCTATATAATGAGTTTGGAAATTTTAGAGAAATGCTTAATAAATGCACTGTAACTAAACTCATTCAATTTTAGCTGTCTAAATTTACTGTAGATATAGTAGACTAAAACTAAAAACAATTCAGATGATTAAAATATGACTAAAACTAAACGGTATTTTAGTCAAAAGACTATGACTAGAACTAAATCAAAATTTGCTGTCAAAATAACACTGGGGCACAGAAGCCGAATATTGTCATAGCAAACCGCCACACATTCTTAGAAATGTGACACTTTTTAATTCACAACATTACACTTCATCATATTACATATCCGACAAGGAAATACAAATATTTGAACTATCTATCTATCTATCTATCTATCTATCTATCTATCTCAAAAGACTATGACTAGAACTAAATCAAAATTTGCTGTCAAAATAACACTGGGGCACAGAAGCCGAATATTGTCATAGCAAACCGCCACACATTCTTAGAAATGTGACACTTTTTAATTCACAACATTACACTTCATCATATTACATATCCGACAAGGAAATACAAATATTTGAACTATCTATCTATCTATCTATCTATCTATCTATCTATCTATCTATCTATCTATCTATCTATCTATCTGTATCTGTCTGTCTGTCACAGCATCCACAGTGAACTTCATGTTGGCTGATTGTTTTATGCTCCAATGTCTTCTCGGTGTCTACATGTGACAGTTTCTCACTATGTACATACATCTGTATGTGTAAAGCAGACTTGAGAGTGCAAGGGTAAAGTTAGTGACTCCACATGCTGAGTAATTATAGCTTTCCCACTGCAGGCGGCTGCAGATGGAAACAGGATAGCCGCAGTCGTGCGAGAGTCAACCATCCGCTTGTGTTTGATTTGGAGCGGGCTCAAAGACTGCAGCCCCCCTCTGCTTACCCTGACATGAAGAAAGGTATCATAATTCACAGCATTCCCACTCCCTCTCTAAACACTGGCTGTAGAGAGCTTTCATTACAGTACCCAATCTGTCATTGATAAAAGCCTGCTGTGTCTGTCGTGTTTGAGTAGTATGTGCTTTTTAGGGTAAGAAACATGCAATTGGGACAAGCATGAAGAGTCTAAAATGTTAAGATATTCAAGAAAATTGCATATGAATGTTTGTGTCATTTGCTACATGGTGATTAATGAGTCCATGCTGAGAATACTTTTCCATACTTAATCACAGATCACAGCATCCATCAAAATACAGAATAAAAGTGACAGGTCATTAACCCAAGGTGCTATAGATGTACATTTCATGCTGTAGGCTTTCATGCTACACACACAGGCATACAAGACACCCTAGCAGCCCCACAGTGAGTGGGGGCCCTGACCCTGAATGCCACTCACAGTCAATTTTATTATGCTTAAATTTGCTATGTAGAACGATTCTGCTTCCCACAGAAGTCACATGAAAGCATCAAGTACACTACCTACACAACCTAAACGTATTTAGAGTAGCAAGAAACAATCAATACATCACACATATGAATGTTTATTATTGATTCACACGGAAAACGAGAACTGTGCTGAATGACATGACTGAGCGGTGTGAAGTGTGAAGACAGCCTTTGTCAGTCGAACTGCTTCCCTGTGAAGCAAAGGAAAGATTCAAGAACAGCGTTCCATTCAAGAATTGTGTCCGTCTTGTTTGTATCATGGTTTATTTGAGTGGTTTAACATTTACATCACTTGAGCATGACGTCACTACTTGTGGATAGGGCCCCATCTCATGGTTTGTGGAGGAGGGGGAGCCCACGATTTGCGGTACACTACACAAGTCTAGATGTTACCATATGACAAAGAAGCTGTGTCTAGTTAAAGCTCTGCATTTGCAGACTGTCGGCAAACAGCGTATTATTGACCAGTAGCTGCTAGAAATGTTGCTCTTTGTCTGAACACGCTACTTCACTGGCTCCCTATTGTCATATCAAAAACATTTTCTACACATTGGCATTTGTTTTTGGCAGAAATACTTTTTGTTTTGATTTCTTCATTAGGGCTAAGCAGTGAAACAGAATCACAAATCAATTTGATTCACAGGCTCTTGATTCTTTTTTCATTCTTATCTTGATTCAATTCGATATCACTTCACATCCAGTACATATCAGGTATAGTACATTAATTTTTCATAAGGAAAAAAGCTCTAAATAGTGGTAAACTGTCCTGGAAACCATGTCAGTTGATACATAACTATAATATGTTTTTACTGTAATATATAATGAATATGAATCATAAAATGAATATGTAACATACTGTAGAGAAGCACCGATTGCAATTTTCTTGGCTGATTCCGATTTCCGATTTTCTGTCAGTGTGATTTTCCACTAATTTTCAGATTTTCCTTCTAATAACTATAATTGACAGCATGTACAAACAAAAATATATAATTTATCAATGCAAACCATTATTTACATAATAAAAGAAATGATTAAACATTACAACTCCAGGGCTCGCAAAATCGCTAGCCCGACGTCCCGGGGCTATTGTGTTTTCCAGTCGGGCTACCAAAATGTATCACCGCCCTGCCCAACGGGCTATCTTGAACAGTGATATAAAATTTCTTCCTTGATTTGTGTTGTTCACTAGCTTGTATGGGTAAAACGGATCATAATTGATAGTTTGCACGTGTTTCTAAGTCTTGCCGATTTAAACATTCAAGTGTTTTAAACCATTCACGTGCATTCGGAGCTGAGCGCACTCATTCAAAGAGTGCACAGAGAGCCGCGTTTCAGACAATGCGCATACACAGAATCGATTCCTCTTTCGCATATCCTTGCATCTGAATGAACACATACACACAAATTATCTCAAAATAACTGTCTCAGCAAGTATTCTTGTAAACACAGTCATTTATATCTTAAGTGAGAGTAAACAGTGGTGAAAGAAATCTCAAGTGCATCATAGTGCATTCGGTCTTAAAGGGGCAGCAGCCTATAAATACCTGCTTTTACATAAGCGCCACCTGCTGTCAGAGAGTGATATTTGTCAAGTCAAGTCAAGTCAAGTCTGCTTTATTGTCAATTCTTCCACATGTACAGCACATACACAGAGAGAATTGAATTTGCGTTACTCTCAGACCCTTGGTGCATACAGATAACACTACAGTAGAACATAAATACAGATAGATACAGATTAAATACAAAATACAACTATACAAATATACAAATAAGGTAAAATGTAAAAAATATATATATAAAGCACAAGGCATATGGCAGATAAAGTGCAAAACCAGTAAAGTAAACAACAGTGCAGATATAATAATTGTTGTGCAAAAAAATGATTTGTAGTGTAAAAGAGCTTATTCAGACTGATTGATTAAAGTGACAGTGTGTGTATGTATTAGGGAGGGGGGAGTGGGAGAGTCCGTCAGAGGGTCACTATGCGTTGAAGTGTCTTGCGGCAGGATGCGTTGCAGGCGCCATACCACACAGTGATGCAGCTGGTCAGGATGCTCTCGATGGTGCCTCTGTAGAAGGTGCACATGATGGGGGCCGGGGCTCTGGCTCTTCTCAGTTTGCGGAGGAAGTAGAGACGCTGCTGTGCTTTCTTGGCCAGTGCTGCGGTGTTGTCAGTCCAGGAGAGATCCTCTGTGATGATGATTTGCTTCTCATTCACAAAGCAAAAATCTGAC